GGTCTGCCAGCCTTTCATATAAAGTCACTATTCCTTGCTCCAACACCTCATCTCCTGATTTATTGGCCTGTCATGCAGCAAGCAGAACGAGTTCGGACTTGGTAACAAAATGACTGCATTGGAGTTAGTATGTCTCCACTGTTTCCTCATTTCCAATATGTCACAACCTATCAATTTTATATGCTGTTTAACAACACAACCAAAAAACCTATTATACGGAATTGATTCCACAGAAATAAAATTATTTCTACTCCTTCAAAACTTTTATTCTTTTCCATTTTATATTGTTTTGCTTATTGAAAAGGAAATAAAAGTCAAATCATCTTATTTCACGTATTTTTGTTATAGCTACATATTTTAAATACTACAGATTTAAATTGCAATTAAAATTGTTCATATAATAGTATAAAGATATATACACAACCAGTGCAGATTAGGAAAGGAGTGGATAAATGCACATCCAGTCTTTAACAAGCATATCCTGGAATATAAGCTCTATTATCCAGGGGTCCCCCACCCCTATTCTCACTGCTGAGTCCCTTAGTAATCAACTACCAAGGCACCAGCATAGAACCACGCGATCAGTATTTTAGGTACAAATGAGGGAATTAGCTCAATCAATTCTAAAACAAAAACCTTAAGATAAATACTGAACTTATTAACAGACAAAGAAAATTGGACACAAAAAAGTACAGTTTCTTCCCCAAGGTCACAAAGCTAATAACTGGTAAAGGCAAGATTTGCACTCATCTGCCTGATTTTAAAAACTGAGGTGGAAATCCCCTTCGAATGTGGAGGGTCCAGCAGCACAGCCTGTCACCCTATCTTTGTTCAGATCTAGCCTTAGACAGCCTGAGACAGCACCCCATTCCTATGGAAATCGAGGGCAAACGATAACAATAAGGTTTTTATATCCAGTAGTTTCTTAGGTCTCATTTATATAAAGTGTCAGCAGGTCAGCAGAAAAACTCTGGGAAATATGAGTGGGTCCAGAGCTTTTTGCTGATTAGAAACTCAGTCTATTAGGACAGAGTGACCTTCCCATGAGAGGCCACATGCACATAAACTAAAGGCAGCTGAGCAATGAAAACTAGCAAGACCCTGGAACTCAAACAAGAGGGATCCCTGCCATCCCCCACCCAATTGCCTCTTCACCCGCGTGGACACGATGGCAGAAGACCCAGGTTGTTTTCCATGTTACACTATCATGGATCCTCACGCATAAAAAGTTACGACTCTATGCTGTCTTATGTCCTTTCCAACTCAAATATGATGACACCAATATTTCAGCAGAATGTCTATGTCTCCACTTCCTCTCTTCTATTAGGAGAATATATCAATGGCCACAAAGCAGAAATCCAATTAAAAATACCATGGACGAAGCCTGGTGAAAGTCTGCGTAAGAGACTTTGCTCTCACGCTCAGTGAATGAAAACTCAGAAAAAGTGGTCCTTCTCCCTCAGCAAGTGGGAGGTAGCCTGATTGTGTGTGTGTGTGTGTGTGTGTGTGTGTGTGTGCGCGCGCGCGCACGCGCGCGTGTGTGTAAATCAAATACAATGAATTCTGGGACGTGTACAGACTTTTTTTATGTTACTGTCATTTCATGAGAATGAGCAAACCTTTAAAGTAATTTGAATCTAGTGTTCTGAGAGAGTCTCAGGGACTTTTTGTGGTGGAGGGGAAAGGGGAAAGGAAAGGAGGAAAGAAGTAAATGAAGCAAAGGTGTAAGAATACTGCTAGGGAAACGCAAGACATTAATTTTGTTCCCACTTGCATCGCACACAAATTAGGGACTGGCTTTCCCCCATGTCTTGTCAAGCACTGAGTTGCAGAAGAAGAGGCGACAGCCCATTTCTCACTGAGCTTGTGACTGTACGTGGCATGTTATAGACACAAATCATTTACTCTGATCAAACACTCTAGCAGCAGGCCGTAATTCTCCTATTTTCAGAGACAAGAAAACAGGAGTTCAAAGAGGGCATCTAATTGACAAAAGTCAGAGGACCAGTAAAAAAGAGAGGATGAGTTCAAACTCAGATCTGAATGGAGAGTCTGCTCTTCCCTCTCCCAGGACTGGAAAATCCTTAACACACAGGATCCCCAGCTCCCCTGCAGTGTTCTTGGCACCAAGCATTTCCCATGGCGATGGTCTCCAGTTCTCACAGACACAGTGCTCTGTGCAGCCAATGACCTCCATCGGACCTTGATCATCTACCTCCCACGCCCACCGGGCTTCACAATAAAGGCAGGAAAGCTGGCTTTCAAGTGCAGACAAAGCCTCCCCTGGTCTAACCTGGGCTCTTCTGTGGCTTCTCCAGCCTAAAGGCAGCCATGAAATTGCTCACAGTTTGCACATGAGCCACACTACCTCTCTCCATCTGTCTCCACACGTGTTCTACTTAGCTATGACCATTTTGATAATCTTGGAAACAAATTTTGAAAAACAGAAAAGAAAGGATTCTGGAACAAGTACTTAATACTTACAATTTTAAATGACAAGTTTCAAAGTGAATATTTACAAACCGAATCTGCCTTCCTATGTGTCAGTTTAAACAGTTAAAAAATATAATAGCAAAAAATTCTCACTTACAAAATTAACAAAAACATCAACAATAAACTGGAATAAACTCAAAAATAATGCCCATGTTGTACATGAAGAAACTACAGGAATGTACTGAGGGGTAAAGTAAGAGGTGTGAATGTAGAGACATCAACATATTGTATGGAGGAAAGCAGTTTTGTAAAGATGTATGTTTTCCTAAAGATAATTCAAAAATTACAAAAAAAATCCCATGGAAACTCTTATCTGATTTTTTTTTAACTTGAGCAAAGAATTTTAGAATTCTTCAGGAATAATAAAGTCATAATACTAGCCAAGAAAATTTGGGAAGGAAGAAAACAAAAAAAATCACACTGTCAGTTATTAAATAAATTTTTACAATATGTAAGATATAGATCTGGAGTAAGAAAGTAAGATTGACAAAAATAAACCATGGGCTCAAAAAGAGACTCTAGTGTACATAAGTATTTTGTACAGGTGGGATTTCAAATCAAAGAGCAAAGTATGAATTCAATAATTGTCCTGGGACAATCAGAGAATCACCTGGAAAGAACAAATTCTATTCCAGTCATAATGACCACAAGAAAAATTACAGATAGGGATGTAAATATTAGAAAGTACTAATAACAGCAAATACAAATCTTTGCTCATATTAATTCAACTTCTCCTCACTATAACAAGTACTATTTTCATCTCCATCTTAGAGATTAAAAAAACCTACAGAAGAGATTTATACCATTATAAGATAGTATTTCTAAGAAAAATACCAAAGGTAAAACCCAAAAAGAAGACATTTACTATCTTAAGAATATTTTGAGCCACAACAAAAATAAACCTACTGAACAAAATGAAAGGCAGGAAATTACAAGGAAAAGCTCTGTGATACATGTTGATGAAGACAAGGGGTTAATGTTCATAACATACAAATAGCTGTCACAAAGCAACAAGAAGCTCCCACACATAAAAGTGTGCAATGGACAAAAGGGATCATTCACTTTTTAAAAGTCAGATGGGTAATGGGTGAAAAATGCTCAATACCTCACTGGTCATCAAGTGCAAACTAAAACAATGAAAAAGCACTTTTGCTCATCATATTGGCAAATATTTTTAAAAGATATTCTAGCTAGTGTCCATCTGTGAGAGAACAAACTGTGAGCAACATTTTGGAGGACGACATGTCAATGGATATGTAAACTCTGAAAAACGTGTGTACACACAGACTCAACTCCACTTTTAGGAATCGTTTCGTTTAGAAAAAAAATCAGTTCAAAAAGATGTACTCATCAGGGCATTTACACAGCACTGTTTACAATGATGGGAAGAAA